CTGACATGAAGAGCAGAAACAAGTTTTAGGAATGAACTATTGGTTCTACTGTTAAAAGGCAAACCAGGAGATCTTCATCAGAGCTGAGGCTGCATATTTTTTAGAAAAGGTCAAATGCTTCAGGGCAATATTAAAATGTGAAAAATTAATCAAGGCTACATAGCAAAGAGCTTATAGATGGCTGCAAAATGTACAGATAGCAATGACTGGAAACTAGTAATAAGGTAATACAGACAAGGCAAGTTAATATTCATGTTTACCACCCGTAGGGATGGGCATGAACTGGGAAAATGCAGTTCAGCTCGTGGGTCGTGGGTCGCCAAGGTTGTGGACCACAAACTGTCATGAACTTTTATGGGCTAAATGAATGAGTTTGGTTTGTGAGGTTCATGATGTGGTAAAATGCCCCCCCCCCAGCATTCAGAGACACCAGAGTTGCAGGGGATCTCTGGCTGACTCTCTTTACCTGCCTCCAAGTTCTGTGGTTATTGGATTTACAGAGTCTAACACCCCCCTCAAAAAAAAGATGCCCCATCCCACATTGTTTCCAATGGAGGGGACAATGCAACAAAAACGTAAGGGCAAAAAAAGTCCCACAGAACAGAATCAAAGTCCCAGAGAATCTCTGCAGTAGAAACTGAAGAGGGTGGGCTTTTTTGCAAGCCCAGCAGAACCAGTGCGCCTGTGGCAGTACAAGCCCAACAGGACTAAAGTCAATCCAGAGAATCTCTGCAGTAGAAATTGAAAGTGGGGGACATCTTTACAAGCCCAGCAGAGCCACTAGAATGTACAGAGTTCCAAGCAGTACCAGTGGAATCAAAGAATGCCCGGCTGAATCAAGCACCACTGTGGCAATGCTAGCTCAACAGGACTGATGTCTAGCATAGAATCACAGTCCAAGCAGGGGGGGTTGTAAGCACAGCAGTATTAGTGCAAACAAAGAGTGCCCAGCAGAACACAGTGCCAACAGACAGATGTGAAGCACAGAATCACACTCCAAGTTGGGGGGGGGGGTTGCAAGCCCAGTAGAAGGGATGTACTGAAAGGAATGACAGGATTGCCCATTGGAAACAATGGGAGAAGAGAAGCCAGGAATGCCAATCATCTTGCATGGACTCCATTGAAATACATTACAATATAAAATAGTTGCAATGAAAACGTGGAGTGGATTTTCAGTTAACGTCTCTGGGCCCAGATAAACTGCTCTGGGACTGGAATAACAGGCCCCAGAGTGGTATAATGGTTCCCTGGAACAGAGGTCATGCTCTGGCAGCCACCCAAGTGGAATGACGGCCTCTGGGAGTAGCAGAAATGTCCTGAGACTAGAATGAAAGCCCACAGATTGGAATGGGTGGAATATAAATTTAAATAAATAAATAAAATCTCATACTAAGAAGTAGTGCTGATGGCAAAACTGAAGCTTCTCTCTATCAGGGAACTGTAGGGTAAAACAGGCTCAGCCTCCCCCCCAAAAAAAGAGAGAGGACATTTTCATCAATTTTTTAAAAAGTGCTGAAAAAAGGATGGACATAAAAACAGAGGATATGTCTTCAGAAAATGAGGACATTTGGTCACCTTACATTATCTTTAATAGGTCTTCAAGCTTCCCCATTTTTTTCCAATGGGCAATCCTTTCATTCCATTTAGTACTTCTCCCAGCAGAACCAGTGCAGTGTACTAGTGCCCAGCAGAACCCAGTGCCTCTGTGGCAATGCAAGCGAAAGGAGGACTAATGTCAAACCAAAGAATCCCTGCAGTTACAATGTGCAGAATGCCTATCAGAGCCCAGTGCCACTGGCATTGCAAGCTTAATATCTTCTATATTGGATCTAGCATGGGAGAAGAAATTGCTGCAAATAAATTGATATTCCTCATCACTCTTCTTCATGGCCACTTAGTGATGTCCCCCTCTTAAAGTCCCCTATTGAGATAAATGGAGATAACAATGGGCTAGATCCCAATAGCTTCTTTACTGGTAAAAGAGGGAGGGAGTGGTCCTTTGGCCATCTAAAAAGGATATGCCAGTATTGTAGGAACTGAACAAGAAACAACTAGACTGGAAGGGAACTGTAGTGAATTGAAATTGAGAGAGATCAACAGTGAAAACTGGTAGGATCCAACTCAATATGTATTTATGTTTAATATTTACAGAAGGTACCTAAAGTGATAATTCATGATTGAAATTGTGGTCTCTTGAGAACATAAGAGAAGCCAATGTTGGATCAGGTCAATGGCCCATCCAGTCCAACACTCTGTCACACAATGGCCAAAAATACCAGGTGCCATCAGGAGGTTCAGCATCATTTGCCAGGAAACTAGAAGCCCTCCCACTGTTGCCCCCCCAAGCACCAAGAATACAGTGCATCCCTTCCCCCAGACTGAGAATTCCTATGTATACCTTGTGGCTAATAGCCACTGATGGACCTCTGCTCCATATGTTTATCCAATTCCCTCTTGAAGCTGTCCATGCTTGTAGCCGCCACCATCTCCTGTGGCAGTGAATTCCATGTGTTAATAATCACTCTTTGGGTGTACTTCCTTTTATCTGTTCTAACCCGACTGCTCAGCAATTTCATTGAGTGCCCACTAGTTCTTGTATTGTGAGAAAGTGAGAAAAGTGCTTCTTTCTCTACCTGCTCTATCCCATGCATAATCTTATAAATCTCGATCATGTCACCCCTCAGCCGTCATTTCTTCAAGCTAAAGAGCCCCAAGTGTTTTAACCTTTCTAGAGAGGTGTTCCAACCCTTTTATCATCCTCGTTGCCCTTTTCTGCACTTTTCCCAATGCTACAATATCCTTTTTGAGATGTGGTGACCAGAACTGTACACAGTACTCCAAATGAGGTCTCACCATTGATTTATACAGGGGCATTATGATACTGGCTGATTTGTTTTCAATTCCATTCCTAATAATCCCAAGTATAGCATTGGCCTTTTTTATTGCAGTCGCACACTGTTTCAACATTTTCAGTGAATTATCTACTACGGCTCCAAGATCTCTCTCTTGGTCAGTGATGCCAGTTCGGACCCTATCAATGTGCATTTATAGTTACATTTTTGGCTCCAATGTGCATCACTTTGCACTTGGCCACACTGAACCCCATTTGCCATGTTGACTCCCACTTGCCCATCCTCAACCGATCCCTTTGGAGTGTCTCACAATCCTCCCTGGTTCTTACCACCCTGAACAACTTCGTGTCTTTCTCTAAGGGATAGTCCTGATGTTATTTATCTGTAGCAATGTCCTTTTATTTTCCCTTTTATTGTCTAGTGTAAACGGATATTCTTCTAAAATGTTAATTATTGTTCTGCCAGGTGCTTTATTCCTATCGGTGGTAGAAAGTGGTGTTAAGTCACAGCAGACTAATGATGAGAGATGTTCAAGGCAAGAGATGTTCAAAGATGGTTTGCCATTGTGTTGCTCTGCATAGCAACCCTAGACTTGAGTTGGGAACATCTTTCATTAATAATAGCTTAAATCTTAAGAGGCATGAGGGGAGTTGTGCTTACAGAAATCAACTCCCCCCCCATGCTGCTTCTCCTGTAACTCAGCTCCTGTTTTCAATGAACTTCTAGGAACAAAGCAGGGAGTAAAATTTCTATAGCATAAGCTGAAAAAAATCTCAATATTTTCTGCATTTTTCAAGATACAGAATCCTAAATAACCATTTACCCAGCCAAGTGTGCTCATTCATGCCTAATGTTTGCTTAACCTCCCCCTCCCTCACATTGTGTGATTATCCAGTTTTCTACATGTCAGGTTGCACTCCCATCTCTGACACGGTAATCTTTTGTAGGAATTTCTTACACATGTAGCCTACCAATGAGTCTCTGTTTCTATAACAAGGTTACCCTACCACATTCAGTTGAATTTATGTATCACAGAATAGGTGACAATCATCGACACTGCACATGATGTACAGAAAAGGACTGTATACTTCAGTGTCAATTTTTAGTGACTTGAATTTGGAAAGAAATCTGCTCAGGTGAAATGTAAAAATTGTATGTAACTTTCTGGTTCAAAATAAATGGGAACAATGGGTATAGAATGCCACAACCTATTAAAAATGTTGAAATTCTTCAGCTTACAAAGAACTCATTAGTGAGACTTCTGTGGAAAATGATGACCTGAATAGGAGCATTTTTAATGGCTCAAGTCTAAACTCATTGTAGGGTGCACAGCAACAGGAGAGAAGAACTTATCTTTCAGTCCTCACCTCTCCCCCGTAGGGGAGACCCAACTGACAGGTGAATCCAAGGGGAGGTTATCAAGCCGCTGTGGGTTCTGATAACTCCAAGGACAATGGAGAAAAAGTAGGCTCTCTGCCTCCGAGGTTGACCCTTCCCTGTTTCTGCTTTTTTCTCTCTTTGATTTTCCTTTATTCTTGGCTCATTTTTAAAGATTCTCACCTTGGCTTCATTTTAATAACAAGACTCTTACCTTGGCTTCATTTTAATAACAAGCTTCAGAGGAATTATAATTGCAGCAAAACACATCCGACATTACTATATCTTCTCCCTGGTAAGAGAAGTTTTTCTGAACATTTTTAGACCATTACCAAGAGACTTATGTGAACAATGTAAAGATAAATTACAGAACTGTATCTAATTGCTCCTTTTAAGGGAGCTTCAACTTAAAAGCAGAGTGGAAATACAAATTATAACCAACTGAATTAAATCAAGCTAATTCAAGTTTTATTTTTTTAATTTTTGATGAATTTTATTCATACAATCACCCTTTTCCGTTGATGAAAACTGCTTATTTAGAAGGTTCAGTGCCTCAGACTCGGGGTGACATAGTAAAAAGGAAATAGACTGACAGATTCAACAAAAAGACTGCCCAATGGAAAGCTAAGATTTCTTTTCCTTTCTTTTACAATTATCTACTTCCAGCATCTTTTTCAATACTGCTTAGCACATAAAACCAACGAGAAGATCTTGGACTAATTTTACAATATTTTTCTTTCTTTTCTTTTTTTTTAATTCGAGAGTTGGCAGGTGCAACCCCCTTGACTGGGGCACGGCGATTGTGATGGTGGTGGGTATGATCTGTGGGTTCACAGAGGCGGTGCTCCCAGGAGTATGGGGGGTGTAATGTATTCAGCCTGACATGCCCGGACTTGCCCGGGCTGGCCAGGCACAATTCCTATGTTAGCTTCAGCCGAAAGACAAAGGATCTGGAGGATCCTAGCCGGCCCTATCAAAAGGGCTAGCTTCCCAGCCGGGAGACCAATGGTCACCCGGTTACTGTAAATAGCCTATCGGGAGTAGGGGGTGTGTTTAGGTATGCTTGGTGGCGGGTTTTCTGAACGGATATAAGCCGGCCTGCGAGCCGGTCAGTTGTCTTTGTCCTGAACTAAATAAAGGTATGCTTAGCTGAAATCACTCTCTGTCCGCATACTTTTCAGGGGGGGAGAGGGGGCCATGCCACACTCAGCTGCTGCTCTCTCCTAGGCTGTGTTTGTCAAAGAGATACTCTCCAAGGCCCCCCTGGGAGGCTCCCAGCCGCCGGAGGTTGGTGATGTAGTCCCCCAGGACCTTGATAGCTTTGACTTGTTCGTCGAGGTAGTGCGTCTCCAGGAAGTCACAGAGATGGGGGTCTTTCTGGTCGCTTGCCAGGCGGTGTAGCTCTAGAAGGGCCTGGTTCACATTCTTTTCCAGCTGAAGGGCTGCCTCCATGGCATCAAGAGTTGTGCCCCAGGCATCGCTTTCTGGCTTCTTGATATCTTGCAGGAGGACGTGGCCACCACGCTGGCTCTTGAACCGAAGCAGCTTGTCGGCGTGTTCCCGCTCTTCACGAGACTGCGACCGGAAGAACTCAGCGACGTTTCGCAGGGCGACGTCATCGCGGTCAAAGTAGGAAGCCATGGAGAGATAGACGTAGTTGGCATACAGCTCCATGTTGACCATGCGGTTGACGGCCCCTTCGCAGTCGCGGTGGTAGTTCTGGCGGATCTGGGAGTCCATGGCTCCGGCTGGGCTGGGAGGCTGGGAGAAAAAGGCATCTGGTCCGGCTGGTGCGGAAAGGGATCTGTCGGCGGGCAGTCGGCGGGGTCTCCCGAGATCACAGCAAGGGTTCCCGAGGATGCCGAGGAGTCTTGGCGGAGAAAAAGGCGGTGGTGGTGGTGGAACCGGGTTCCGTCCAAACACTGTTGAAGCAAGAACCGAGCTATTTTTCTTTCTGACATCAGAGATTACAGAGGAATGTGTGTACTATAAAATAAAAGTTAAGATGTAAAATATAAGTTAAGAAGATCTTCTCCCCCCCCCCTATTGCCTCCTTTGGGTAAGTTATAACAGACCAATATAGACTTTTTTTCATTTTTCTTAAAATCTCAAATTTAAAATTATTTTATTTTTATTTTTTATCATTTCTAATACTCTCTCCCGTTCATCTTTTTGTTTGTTTGTTTTTGTTCCTTTCTTTCCTCCCTTTTCCCTCTCCTTTATCATCCCCTTTCCCACCCACCCCCTCATTATTTGGGTGGAATGATCTCGATGTGGGCAGGGGAGTGACCTTTGGGGGGCAGCAAAAGGGTGGGGGGAAATCCAAGGGAATCTGTATGCTTTTGTATTACCTTCAGCTTAGAAGCAAAACATGGGGAAAATCCGCACAAAAGCACTCTCAGAAAACCTGGGGAAACAGCAACCAGAAAGTGAACTGAGCACTGAAGGGAGGAAAATGAATGAAGAACAACAAAGAAAACCCAATGGACATGCACGGTGAAAGTGAGAGAAAACACCTGTGCATATTAGGCCAATGAGACAGAGCTCAAATCATGCTCATTAAATCACAGCGTCAGAGCAAACAATTCTGTGTAGATGAAGCAACCACCTAATTTTCATTTTAATAACATGTAACACTTTCATCATTATCTTTACTTTCTTTGCCATATTTACTTATTAGTTAACTTATGGAGCTGTTTTCAGATCCTCCCTTCTTCCCAGTTTGTGCCTTTCTAGTTGTGCGTTAAAGGAAATCCAGACACTTAAAAGCAAAAAAAAATAAAATAATAAATCTCTCCACTGGGTTGTTAGAATCTATTGGCTGTAATTTTCAGATGCCACAAGCTGTTGGATGTTGCTTTAATATTTTACAGCATCTGAACACTAACAATGAAGTTTTGAAGCATATAATACGATTTCAAATCTGACTTTCCTTCTATGGGAACATTTGCTACTGACTACCCTACTACCTAGAAAAGCAGAAATATGAAATAACTGCAGAAGGAAATACGCACAAGTAGACTTTAAAGAGTTTTAAATTATGGATTGGGTGAAATTATGGTAGGATATGCAGTTACAGGGATCACTTATATTGTGGTTTAGCAGCATGACATCACAATGGTGTGGCTCCAGACCATTTCCCCCCTTTTCATCCTGCACTTCGAGTTGGGGATAGTACAACCTTGTTCTGGCACCTAGAAGGTACACTTGATAGATTGATTAAGCAGCTTATATCCCACTTTTCCTTCCAAAAATGGGGGGACAAAGTAGACTTGAATAGTATCTGTAAAACCATTAAGCAAAACATTCTACAGAAATAGTTAAAAAGAAGAAATCAACATTAACAGTCATTCAAACCAGCACACAAATTCCTGATGCATCAGGCAAAAGCTCTCCTAAAATGTACTGTTTTTTGAGGACTGAAATAGTAGAGATGCTTTCAACCTCTAAAGGAAACTCATTCCATAATAATGAGAGAGCTGAAATTGTCTTCATCTCCCTAGGAAATGGGAAAGTGAGAAGGTGTTGATATGAACAATCAGGGGTCATTTCGTAGAAGAAGAGGTGCAGAAGCTCATTAGCATAACTCATTAGCATAACTTATTTGCATATGCCACACCCCCTTACATCACCGGAAGTGTGTCCAAAGGCAACACCCACCACTCAGGCTCCACTGGACTGTTTTGGATTGCAAGCTATTGGGGGGGGGGACGTGCAGATCTGTCCTTGCAGAGGAGGGAGAGCTTGTACCTGAATAAAACTTGGTCTTAAAGGTGCCACTGGACTGTTTTGGACTGGTGGGCTGAGGAGGGGGTACTCTGCAACTTACCTGGCTGCTTCTTGCTCTGACTGAGGGCTTCTGGGAGCAGGGGGTGGGGCTTGTTGCACGTGCCCACCCCCTGGGCTCTTTACTGCCGGAGCTCCGCTCCTGTGCGCTCCTGCAGGAAATGACCCCTGTGAACAATCAACTGCTGCACAAGTTTATACAAGGAAAGATGGGTCACTACAGAACAGCCCACCCCGGTGCCTCACTGTGCCTGCACCAGCCAGCCCAGCTACCATGCTGCTGCTGAAGAAGAGGGAGACCTGAGGAGGCAGGCAGGGCAGCGGGAGGCAAGCAGAAAGAGGTGTCATGGTGCCTTGCTTTGCTCACAGCCCACTGCCCTGCCTGCTTGCCTCCTTGGCTCTCCTTCTCCCTCTCTGTTCCCAGTGTGCAGGAGGCTTCTCCATGAATGGAGAGGGAGAAGGAGAGCCAGCCATTCATCAGGTCACCTATGGGTGATATCATAAGTAACGTCACAACCTCAGTAGCATGTGTGCCCCTGCCCTGGCCCCCACCTCTGCTGAAAAATTTCGGGCTATGGGGCTGGCACCACCTATTCAAGGAAATCTCTTTAGAATTCTTTCAACGCCTGGCAATCAACATCCTAGCTGTGACTAAAAGAAAATTGTTGGAATATTTGTTTCCAATCCTTGCCATTAAACTTAGTGTTCAGTTCTACTTCCCAATTTTTAAAAAATCATCTGCACTGGAATTTGTCCCTGATTAAATAATATCCTGTATTGTTAGGAATTAATTTCCCCTCCTCCTTATCTATACTTTCAATTGATTCTTCAACTGGCTGTTTGTTATGTAGTAAAGGTAAAGGTAAAGGTCCCCTTGTTCGAAAGCCAGTCGAATCCAACTCTAGGGTTGCGGTGCTCATCTCCGTTTCAAAGCCGAAGAGCCAGCGCTGTCTGAAGACATTTCCGTGGTCATGTGGCCGGCATGACTAAACACCAAGGTGCACGGAACGCTGTTACCTTCCCACCGAAGTGGTACCTATTTATCTACTGGCAATTTCTTGCTTTCGAACTGCTAGGTTGGCAGGAGCTGGACCTAGAGACGGGAGCTCACTCCGTCTTGTGGCACCCGGGTCTCGAACTGCTGAACTACTGACCTTCCACAGCCTGCAGTTCAGCATCTTAACCACTTGAGCCACCGCAGCTCCAATTTATGCTATGCTATGTAGTACAGGATGATAAATGAGGTGGACCACTGCTCTGATCCAGTAAGGTTCTTATGTTTACAAAGTTTATAAATAAATAAATAAAGCTTGCCCTGGTGCTGAAAATGCCTTTAATTTCATTACTCTTGTGTCTTGGGAGCGATTATTGTACCACTACTTTTCCTAGAAAGAAAGAAGGTTTTGGAGGGCATGCTGGGGAACTGGGCTCTCCGTCCACTCAAGACTGAGGAGGATCAGGGGGCAGAGCCTTCTCCTCCACTATAAGACATTTGCTGGTTGGAGCTGCCCACCACCTATGCACCCACTCTTGTATTTTGCAAGGTGGGATTAGCTGAATGCTTCTGGTCCGAGCAGGAACTTTGAGGGCTTTTTCAGATTCTCTAGGAAAGGGTTCTTGTTCACCACCTTCATCTTGAAGCTATTTGCTTTTAATTAGGCCTGATCTTAGACTGCTTAGGCCCTGACTGGGGCTAGCTGGAATAGTGTGGGCTTTCACTTAAATTAGGAAGTTTTTGCTGAGAACCCTCAGCATTTCCCAATCTGCCCTGTCATTGCTTATCCATCAGAGGGCTGGAGAGGGGCCCCAGGGCTCAGCTTCGTTAGTTTGTTTGTTAACATGGGGGGAGGATGGTGGAATTACAGCTTTCCTCAGCATACTGTTGTAGGCAGGCTGGATGAGCTAAGGGCAGTTTTAGCTGCCTCATGCTTGAAGCCAGGGTTTGATTGCCCTCAGTCCTGGCATGTCCCTGGGAGTCAGTTCGGAAGGGTGCCTTTTCTGTTGGGTGGTTCTTCAGTAAGGCTCAGATCAGTGGTTAATAATTAAAACCCAGCTGAATCCATGAATCTTGTATGGTGTTAAGGGTCTGCATTTGGCATAAACCAAGCCAAAACTCCTCCCCAATACCTTATTGTTATTTTTCAGGCATTTTTTCAGCTGGTTAACCAGTGGGTTACTTATCCAGCTATCCAAAAATGGCTGACCCGAAAAATCCTGAAAATATTTGGGATTTTTCAGGACCGCTGGATAGTCTTAGTTTTTGCACACCCCTATGTGGTGTCTTTATTTTAGAAATGATGTCATACTGAAGGTGATAGGAGCAACAGGTTGTTTTTGTCTTGTGTAGGATCCTACTGTTGTTGCCATTGAACATCTGCTTGTGCTGTAACAGTTACAGGTGGAAGGGTAGGGTCAGGCTAGCTAATTTTTGCTTAAAATTATTCCCAACAAAGCAGCATCAATTGCATCCTGGAGTATTGCAAAGTATGTCTATTGTGTTTGTATGATTTGTTATCATTAATCTCAGTCCTAGCTGGCATGTTACCTTTTACTCCATAACTGCCTGTTACAAATATGACTTCAGTGGACAGATATAGAGAACAAATTTACTACATAGTTAAATTGAAATGTATAAAATATGTTCCCACTTACAGGGAGATTTAAAGATTGGCCGTCTGGTGCAATCTGCATTTTATGTCAAAGGTTTAGCACACCACTCTGTCTAACATAATGCCATCCTGAATTGTGTGTGATTAAAAATGGCATATTTTTACAAATACAGGAATTTACTGAATGGCAAGATTAGACAGTGATTTGGCAGCCTTTACCAAATTCTCAGCTGTGAAATTGTAAGGTACTGTTTTAGTGCAATGAACAAGCAGATCCTATACTCCACTTCATTTAAAGTGCATTTATCAATGTCCCCCTTTTACTATACTGTGAAATTGACTTATTTGGTACAGCCTATAATACCTGATTAACCTTCCAAAAGCCATTGTGACTACATATATTCAACCCTAATCTTTTGCGTGATTTCCCAAGCTGCTATGCACTTGGCATTCAACAGTAATGATTTTTGTCCCCTCTGCATTTTAAGTAATGTAAGATACCACACATACCATGAGTGCTTTCATTCATTTCAGTATCAGGGC